CCTGCTGCAACACAGCGCCGCTACAGATAATGTTAACGTATTAAGGGAGGTGAGACAAGCCTGATGGTGCTGATAAGGAAATGGTGCAACACCTGCACACAAACCCCGCTTCTGTAACCTCCCACTGTATGTTGGCACTGAGGTCACTCACAGCGGGCAGGTGATGGTTGCAAATCCCGACGAGCTCCACAGGCGAAGAACTGGATTCTGGGAGAGGGCATGCATAGGGACCAGCCAAACCCCATGGAGTCCCTTACACGGCTCCGCAGTGACGCTACCGTGTGCCCAGCTCAGCTGGATGCTCTGCCCTGCCTTAGCAGACAGGGCTCTGTGGAAGATTTAATGACTTACCCGTTAGCAGGAAGGTAAATTATTATCCCTTGATGACTGAAGCTGGCATATTTTAAACTTATTGCATCTTCTAAATCCTAGGTCATTTTACATTTCAAACATCAGACTTTTCATCAAGCTCATTTTAATCTTCTTCTAGATGGAAATTCACTTTCTTTTAAGGTGTCACTGCCACGGCTCTGAACTAAATTTGCACAGCCAGACCAGCACAAGGGGAGCCAAACAATTTGACCTTGGTTTCTATTTCAGGTAGTTAGCAAGACATTGTTCTGGGCGAGAACCTTTAGCCAGATAAATATCTCTCCATGGGCCAACCGCTGATCTCCTTCCCCTCCCTGTGTACCAAAAGCTTCACACGCTGTAAAATCAGTTATAAAAGAGTGCTCTGTTATAATGGTGGTGATGGGTATTATGGAAATGCCCAGGATAGCGGCAGATGTAATCAGAGTCAAATAATTCATGCTTTTATTCAGTGCCTAATCATACATACCCCTACCATCATCTTGGTGTACAAATACAAAGTGCAAGTGTGTGTGTGTGTGTGTATAAATCAATGGCATTTGATGCTAAGATCTTCATGGGGAAAAAAAAGCAGCTGTGACTTTTATGCTATTTTCAAACATTTAAATCTTTTCATTCATTCCTAAACTAAGTTTTTTAGTCTGACATAGAAAACTGTCAAAAAAGCTATGAAAATTAACCAGTCCAAGAACAAAACAACCTTGCCCAGCATTACCCAGCAATGATAATGAAAGCAAGGACTACTTAGCACTTACCAAAAGTAATTTTTCATTTTAGATGAATGACTAAGCAGACCCACACTAAGAATCTTTAAATTTTACAAGTAAGTTTGTTTACTTTTTAAAGCTCGTAAAACACCACAGAAGATCTACAGAATTTCATTAATATTTCGGAGCAACATTTTCTTTTGCCAGCAAAGCAATCAGGTAGCCACAGCAGAACTTAATCAAAATGCTGAGGTAAAAAAGAAAAGGAGTGCAGAAGCTTATTAATTTTAAAGATTTTTTAAGAGCCAAGCACAACACTTTGTACTGTATGCCATCCGGCAGAATTATCGTGACATTGTGATGGATGCAACCCATTTGCCACTAACAGTGAGAGAGGGACATCTGCTTATAAATTCACTTTGGAAACAAGGAACACTTGGAGATTTCCAGAAGTCAAATTAAAGTTAAGAGGCATAATGATCTGGCAAGACTTTCACAGTCATTAAGTCACCGTCCATCGTACCCAAGACAACCAGGTGTTCCCCAGCCAAACGCACATTTCTGCCAGCCGAGCTTCCCAAAGGGTGCTGAAATTCAGGCTGCTAGTTATAAAAGGAGGCTATTAAAGCAAACCAAAAAAGTTGGGCTCTTTCCACTGACAGATGAAGGGAGGGCTGAAGAAGCGCACTGCACGTGCTGCACTGCTGGTCCTGTGCAGGCATATAGCAAATGTTTTCTAGCTACAGGTTCCAGTATGAATTAAAATAGTGTGGCTTTTCAAACCTGCAGTATACAGTTCCAAAAAAAAAGCCCTTTGAAGCCAATTTCTCATCAATTTGCCTATTGGCACGCCATAGACTTTGGGGACATTTCCCTAATGATAGCAGTGTCTGTTCGGGGGTACTCCTGGGGCCATGTGGACACAGATGTGAATCGCTCCGGGTTTATTTTGGTTTTCTATAGCAAACACCACTGCAGGTCTCACTAAGTGAAACTATACCCAGCAGGTACTAATCAGCAGACCCTAATGACAGCAGGCTCGCACCAGTTTGCCCTCTTTGAAGGAATCTGAGGAAATGGAACAGGTATTAGAGGGGCTGGAGAATAATTTTACATTTTGGCTCAAGCTCTTTTAGAGCATCAGTCTCACTGAACCCAGGAGCCATGCGGCACAGCTGGATTTCATTCTTTATTGTAATGCCAAAGACAGGTTTAAAGAAACTCAGAGAGCTCATTAAATGCTTTTTGAACTGAAATCTTGTTTGTCAGACCCAGCCATAGCATCAACCCCCTAGCTCCTCAGGGGGATGAGGTGTGGGACAGGATGGGATTGAACAGGGCTGATATATGGCCCATGGATCAGCAAAACCAGCCCCTGTACTCGTTTGGCATCCTGCACCTCTCCGTACCACGGGAACTCAGCCCTCAGGGCGGTTTATTCAAACCCAGCAGAGAAGCTGAAACTTCTCTGGATTCGCTTCTCCTTCAGGTTTCTTTCACATCACATTCTTCTGGTTAGCCAGCTTTGGGAACCATCACTTTTCTGTTATCTACCCAAGTCTATGTATTTTTCCCCCATTAATTCACCTAGTACCTTTGTGCTGAAACAATCCAGATATAATTTAATAAGCTTTAGAAAGATAGTATTGGTTCATATGCAAGAAATCAGATTTACATAATTTTCCACTCGCTTTTATAGCCACCGTAGTTCAAACTATCTTTACGTTGGGGAAACTCTTTTAATAAAATGAAATACCACCTACGCTACACTTCAGCTTGCTAGCCTGGTTTTTGTAATAAATTAAATGTTGATTTGTCACACTGACTTATCACAGAAAGTTCCTTTTAAATGAGAAGAGAGTGCCCTGTCCTGCAGTTAGTCATGGTTGTAAGTCACTAAACTAAGATCCAAAATCAAGCTTCATCTTGTAATGTTTTTTTAATTACCTGAAGCTTTCTGCATGGGGGCAAAAATGAATGCTTTTTGGTTTTATCACAAACTCTGCGCCAAATAAAATGTCATATGTTGAAGATGGACCCAGTAGCACATAGTATAGATTTCTGTGTAGGAAGAAAAGGGATGTTTATGTTCCAGTATTTGGACTGAACAAGACTTGAAATTCAGGAGACCACATCCTGCAGAATGATCTTGGAAATGTCTGTTCCCCTCCTGCCTTTCCAACACCTCTGTCCTCTGTGAGGAAAAGGCCTTGAGCACCAGGACATGGGCACCAAGCTGGCTCAGTCTTGTTCAGCATCCACCAGCTAATCCCCGTCCATGTTTCTGGCAGATATTGGGTCAGTCTAGGCAAAAAAAGAAAATTCCGCAACTTGTATCTAAAGTGCCATTGACATAAGCGATGCCTGCTTGTAGAAATGGCATGCGGTACAAGACTTGCACGGATTTTATGTTTTAGAATAATCTATGGTATATTCCTATAGTCTGGAAAGCAAAACCTTTGCTACCAGTGTTCAACCAAAAAGCACAGGATGCTGCGTACCAATGTAAAAGGTCGGGGTTTCATACATCAGATAAAAGAAAAATATTTGATTTGTGAGAAATTTTGTACAGAAATCTGCCAGCCGAAGTGAGCCTGCAGTGTTTATTTAGTAGACAACCATCCCAACAGCCTCACCCTAATGGCTCTGGCTGTGTGCAGGGTGAGGTAGCAGGTCCTTTTCCTTCCTCCTGCCTGTGGCGTTAGGGGACCAAAACCGTCGGTTTCTGCCCCATCAGTTCCAGCACCACAGCCAGTGGAGCCTGCAGACAGCATGCTTGCCACTGCTGCAAACAGTGGTCTCCTCACTTGTTTCCTGATGCTGTTTACTTATATTTTAACTGTCTTTGCATGCACTTACTGTGATATTTACTTAGGAATTTGAGAAAGACTTTGTATTAAAGCAAGTACATACAATTTCGTCAGAGAGACTGAAAATAAATATGAATGCCTTTGGCTAAGCAAAATTGTCAAACTTTGGCTTCTGAACTTGGGCAGAAAATGAGTTGTTTTCCAACAGAGCTAAATATATTCACCTCTCATTGATTTCAGTGGAGGACTTAATGCTCAGTAACTTAAAAACAGATAAATTATTCAGATGTTTAAACATGAAGCGCTCATCTGATGCTAAGCACTCACATTTTTAAATGCCTTAATAACGATTTATCCTCTTTAAACAAAAAGTAATATTCACTGAGCGGTGTAGTGGGAGGGTTTGGCTACTTTTGCAGCACTTTCTCCAGTTTTCAGGAGAATGTTTTTGCTGCCCTAACAGTTATCTGAAGAAGAATTACTGAAACCTAAGAATTTGGGTGTCTAAGAGTGGAAATTATCACTTAACCCCTTTTTCTTCTCTTTGCAGCTCCCAGTACAGCCCAGTACGGGATCACCGGTGACGCCGAAGTCCTCTTCTCCTGCTGGTACCTTGTGTTGACACTGTCCTCCCTCACCAGCATATTCTACCTGAAGAACATCATTCTGCACTAAATGTAAAGACCCATAAAAGGCTTTTAAGGATTCTCTGAAAGTGCTGATGACTGGATCCAATCTGGTAGAGTTTGTTAAAAGCAGCGTGGGATATAATCAGCAGTGCTTACATGGGGATGATCGCCTTCTGTAGAATTGCTCATTATGTAAATACTTTAATTCTACTCCTTTTTTTGATTAGCTGCATTACCTTGTGAAGCAGTACACATTGTCCTTTTTTAAGACGTGAAAGCTCTGAAATTACTTTTAGAGGATATTAATTGTGATTTCATGTTTGTAATCTACAAGTTTTCAAAAGCATTCAGTCATGGTCTGCTGAGTTGCAGACCGTAGTTTACAAAAAAAAAAAAAAAATATTGCAGTAAAAATGTGCTTCTTTAAGGCTGCAATACAAATATTCAGTTCCCTTCTCAAATAGCATTATATCCACATTTACACAGAAACATTTTTTTCTTTTTTGATAAAAATTCAAATAATATTGCCTTCAAAATATTTCTTCAAAATATGACACATATCTAGATTTTCTTCTAGCATGATATTCAGGTTTCAAGAATGAGCCTTGTATTATAACTGCATTGTGCAGTACTGCTTTCTGTTTTCTTTCCTTTTTCCTGCAAATTCAGCATGGGTGTGCCTTCATAAAACACTACTTTCCTCTTCCCCTCCAATAAATCTGGAATGTGTTTTGGGAAATGCTAAAGCATCCTTTTGAGCATAAGAAGTCCCTAGTCAAGGACGAAGGTGCTATTGGCCAAAAGGAAAACCTCCGCTCCCATCTCCAGGGGGTCATTGAGCCGCTTCAGACTTAGGGTTTTAGGCAGTCGGTCAAGGATAGCACCAACTCCTTTTTGTTTGCCACCCACCACCACTGACCAGCAGGCAATCTCGGTAAAGATCCACTTTCCCATTACAAAACAGAACACAAATTCTGTTGAGACACCTTTTGAATGTAGGAACGTTTCCCTTAGTCATTCTAAACCAAAATTCCTAAATGGCTGTAAATGTGAGAGGCTGAATAGTCACTTTTGTATTACTGGCAAAAACTATGTGAATTGGTATTTTTCTTGCACTTAATTTTGTACCGGTTTGGCTAACTTAGCAATGATAAAGGATGCTTTTAAATATTAGATATCTGAAAATACATGAAGTATCAAGCAGACTTTTATATATATACAGATATATATATTAAAACGAGGTTGCTCCAGTAACTGTACTGAAGCGCATGCTGCCTCCAGGATAGAATCACCTTTCCAGACAGGACTTCATTGCCGATGCACTAACACTGCACAAATACCTTGCTGCAGCAGTTAAGTCCTCGTACATGATTTCCTAGTACTACGGTCTATCGAGATAACACTCATTTCACTCAGTGAAGGATCAAGTTTCAGAATAGCATGTAATGCTACTAACTGGTTTTTAAAACAGCCCCGGACAGCATTAACACAAAACGTTGCTCACAGTTTGCAGCTGGATTTAAAAATGTCACCTGTGTGAATTGCTGGGGCATGACCATGGCCAACAGCCCATGAGTGCAGGATCTCCTGGTGACCCCAAGAGATCGTGACTTGCTTACAAAACAGCCGCTGATGGCAAAAATAATAAAACCATTATCGACGTTAGCATTCCTGTGTTTCACATACGAACCCTAGTAGGTGACTCAATTATTATAATACCGCATTTTTTCTCCTAACAGTAAGTTTTCGTAGCGAGCAATAGCAGATGAGCACTGTGCATACTCAGCAGTTCCAAATTCAGTTCACAGATGCCCCAGCTGTTGAAAAGGCAGACTCTAAGTTTCACTGCTCTCAATATACACTGTCCCATGCAAACGTGTAGGCAGAATATACGGTGAATCTGTTGCCGTCGCTGATAAAGGGTATACACAGAAACCTGTTGACTCCACAATATGGCAATAAAGTGTCCTGGGTCGCCCTGTGTATGTTCAGTGACAGATTGTACTACTTCTATCTTCTTATTTACAGTTGTGTGCTAAGCAGTTACTATTTTCAGAAATGTGGCATTTTTTAAAACCTTGAATAACATGACAAAATTCATTCTTTAAGGAAATAGTATAAACCCAATTCAAATTATACTATACACAGTCCTGATATGCTGATCTTTCTTGTATTGCAGCTTTAAAGTGCTATATTTTAGAATCCATTTGCTAGAAACAGTGGTGCTGCAGAAAGTGTCATGTCAGTACAGTTTTATGAAGAAAGAAAAAAGGATACGCATAGCCCAACTCGTATGCCTCATCTCACATAAAATTGAGAGATGTTTCTATACTGTGGCTGGATCAGATTAGGTATTTCCATGATATATTTCATTTCAGTGATTCCTGATATCTGGATCCTGATATTTCCAGCAACAGAATAGAATGAACAGCAGTTTTATTAAATACAACAAAAACTAAATGAAGTGTTGACTGTTTGCATTCGGACCAGGTAGAGCCACTGGATAACATGGACCAGATACTCAGTCCCATCTCTGAATTTTCACCTAAATTTGGGGGGAACATAATTATTGTCAAGTCCAAAAAGAAAAAAAAAAAACAACCCCCACAAATGTCTCTAGGTGCCAATGACGTTTCCTTAGATGAAATAGGTATTTGATATCCGTCAGACCTGCGTGGTCAGCAGTGGACGTGTGTGTGTGTGCGCGTGTGCGAGGCACAGTGCGAGGCGTGCTGGGACTGCGCACACGCTGCCATGTGCCCTCGGTGTCGGTAGGGTTAGTCTCCTGAAGGCTGCTCACGGGACTCGGCCCGCTCAGCCCTCCAGTCCTACAAAGTGATACAGCTGTGCTTGACTTTGTGCACCGAGTAATTCAACAGACAGAGTACCTGCAGCAAAATGACATTAATTTTTGCAGGATTGGAGCTGTAGGCGGTGTTGATCAAATAAAGAAACTTGGTTCTTGGTGAATCTATTCCATGCGGTAAACTGGTAATTGTACAGACTGGGACTTACTGGGGCGTTCCTCCAAAACGGGCGGTGCAGACTGCTGCAAATTGAACACAACCACATTTTACCAAGACCTACCCACCCTGTAATTTCTGGGGTGCATTTGCTTTAGGCAACTGTTTTGAAGGTATGTTCTATGCTTCTTCAAAGGATTAACCCATACTGTTCATATCTGTCGGGCAAATACTATTATATTTATTCCCACCTTTCAAATGTGAAAAATAAATGGCTTGGCTCCGAGCAGTATAACTGAATATTGATATCCAGGTTGGTGTCCACATTGGAAAGCCCAAAGTCTGTAACACCGTAAGTTCCTACTTGTGCAATAACTCAGGTCTGCAATTACCGTTGCATCGGTGACATACATAGAAGCAATGATGCTCTAATTATACAGTTGCTGGTCGTGATATTATACTAATACTGAATTAAAGGATGTCTCACAACTTCTTGAACAAATGCAGTTTCTCAAGGGTTTATAACTTGGCAGGAAATGTATTCATAGCAAGAGAGCTTTTTTAAACTTTACAATATATATATTTTTTTTAGAAACTGTGGTGTTTTTAAGATACAGGAGTGTTAAAAATCATCACCAGTAAAAGCTGCTTTTTTGCACATTTTCAGAGCTAGTGTTCTAGACAAACAATGGTAAATTGTATGCCTACCAAAATCTCCGCTTAGTCCACATGACTGTGTTATAAAGAATGTGTATACCAAAATATGTATTTACATGGATAAACAATATGCCTTAAAGACTAAATATGCATTTACTTCTAAGGTTGGGTCAGATTTGTGCCCGGTCTGGAGGTAAATAATCCATATTTCATAGCCTGCCATAGGAGGCTTTGTTTCTTCGGAGAAAAAAACAAAAAGATAAAAAAAGCATTTCTTTTAAAAGAATCTTAAATAATTTCAGAATTCTTGCATAAACCGGCATATGTGAGGCAGTTTAGGAAAAGGATAAATTTTACCTTGACGCTCTAGCACTGGCGATGTGTCACCTTGCTCACGGGGTTTGCCGTGGGGGCTGGCAGTGCCACAGCGCTGCCAAAGGCTCGGCACATCCCTGTCCCCGTCCTCTCCTCCGCTTTACTCCCTCGTGTGGCCCTGAGCCAGTGCAGAGCGAGGTGCCGGGGTGCCCTGTCCTCCCACGGCACCAGGGGAAGAGGGGCCACAGCCCCTCAGCCATGCCATGGCTTCCAACACAGAATTCTTGAAAACAAGAAAATGTTTAAAAAAAAAAAAACTTAAAAAACTTAAAAAACAGGAATTAAAATTGCTCCATTCAGCCTTAATATTGAGAGTGGATAAATAAGCATTGTCATCAAAGGGAGGAATTTACTTTCAATGCGCCCGTCCTTAGGCAGCTCTGTTGCCCACACAGGGATGCTGCAAAGACATTTGGTTTGGCTTGGCTCCAGTTTTCAGTCCTGTTTTATGTTTCTCTGCTGGGCATTGAGGGCAAAGGAGGGAATTTTTTCTGTGGTCGGAAAAGCCCATAACCGGAGTGAAAGCAGATAGATCAAGGCAATGGCACAGAGGCCTCAGGATAATTTGGAAGGGATTGTCAATAAATCCTGCTCCAAAAATTTTGTAGCACCAAGGGCAGGGGAGATTTCTACCAGGGCACCTTCTGCGTTGAGCACATCCCTACTTGTTCCTATCACTTTCTGACCACTTTATGCCTAATTCATGAAGAGCTCAAAGGTTCCTTTATATTAGGAAATTCCCGGGTTAAACAATGTCGAGATCAACATATTTGCCACCTCCTGTAAACTTAAGTTTTCAGTCATTCATATTTTAGGGCATATTAAGCTCTCCCGTTGCTTGGTAGGATGTAAACCTGCATTATAGGACAAGCTGGGGGGACGATGCCCACCTGCTCTGGCTGCTTTGTCCTCATCTCAGGAGGAGAACAGAGGTGTGGTGAGGCCGTCAGGTCTCTGCACGGGAGGCTCCCGCCAAGGGGGGTGCTGAGTGATGCATAATGGTCATGAGCTGCTCTGCATCACCTCCGTGCTGTCGTCTGCCTAAGTCCAGGCTGCCAGAATTATCCCTGAGGGTTTGCTTCAATTTCTGCTAACAGCCATCTGGGTGACTGGAGAAATGCAGGAGGGACTTTCTCCTTTGTTCTCACTCTGGGCACCCAGGCAAAGCAAAGGACTCAGTTCTCCCCTGCAACAAACTTTGAACCCACCTCCTGAACACTGCTGAAAACCAGTTGAAAGTCATTGTCCCAGGGCCCCCATTAGCAGGATAAATGACATCTGTGCAGCAAGCTGGAATGTAAAGATGGGGGCAGAGGAGATGGTGCTGTTCCGGACACTGCTGCCAGAGGACTTTCCCCTCCTATGTGCCAAATATGAAAGTGCTTATTATTCCTCCACTACCCTTTTTTTTAATGCTGCCAGATAAAAAAAAATGCCTGTAATGATGATATATATTGTATTTGGTATCTAGAGGGCGAAATCTGTTCTCTGCTAATGCGCATCCATCCTTCTCTATTGTTTTTCAGCCAAAATCAAAACACAATTCGCACATTACACGATGC